GGTGAACCCAAGACTCATCGCCTGTGACAATTCGGGCTAGCATATTGTGTCCTTCATCGTGATAGCGATTGAGATGCTGTAATGCCAGACCCACTCTTTGAATTTTGTGTTGTGGGGTCAGCATGCACCGCACCCATCGTGCACAGACTTCGTGAAAACCTAACATGTCAGGCATTATGAGGTGGGCNATTACACCATAACATTTTAGAAACATGTCCTCTGCTTTAAATTTCCATGTCTTGCAAACTCACCTAACTCTTGCAGAAGTAGCAACTGAAAAGTATAGCATAGCCAAATAAGGAAGTTGCTTGACAAGAATTCAAAGAGGAAATGTGACCTGACGAAATATTATGGTTTGCAACCCTGTTAAATTGAACTGATGGCATTCAGCTGAATTGCTGATAACCAATTTCCTAAAATATTACTTTTTTAACAAGTGAAACGGGTACAATACAATAAACAGAGATGAGCTATGTAAAATACTTGTTCATGACACAAAATTCTTTATTTATTAACAAGCATCACGTAAGATACCTCTAGTGGGGATGTGGCAGTTTCTGCACAGCATGCTGCATGTGGAAAAGTCTGCAACCCACTTCAGGACTGTGCTGAGAGGCATCAAAAAAGGAGTGGTAGAGCTGGTATGTGCACAGAAGGTTTGGAAGTTCAAGGAAGTACACCTTGAGTGCAGATGCAACGGAATGTACGTCCTGAAGAGGTTTCTGATATTCACAGACAACTGGCACCAAATGCTCATCAAATTCATGCCTGTAAAAAATTGAAATTAGCATTAGTAATCTTATATATTGTGACATATTGAGCTATGGATGACGCCCCCCCCCGCCAGCCGTGAGCCGAGTGGAGCCGAAGCTAGCTGAGTCCCAGTATCCTGGTAGCTATGTAACGAGAGTCAACAGCGGTGATGTCACCAAGGGATACCGGGGTTGCTAGGCAACAGTAAACAACTCCAGACAGTGTTGCTAGCAACACGGCGCCAGACAACAGTGTTGCTTATTACGTGGCTGTTTTCTGTGTTGTCCGGAACGAGGCTAGATACGGAGCAGAGAAGACTATTCAGAGTTAGTTACGAGTTCCGAGCAAGCCTACGAGTTAGTTACGAGACACAGTTCTCAAGTTCTCAAGTCAGTTCCGAGTTAGCCAGCAACCAGTCAGTTGTATTCTGGCATTAGCAGTGTAGTATTTGTGATACTGCCGATGGCAGTAACTGTCAGATTGTAATTTGGGTGATTGTAAATGCAAATGTGAAATAAAATTCGCTATATCAAATACGGCATTAAGTTATTTGTTGCATTATACACCCAACACGTAACATTGGTGTCAGAAGTGGGATACAAACTTACACATGTGACCAACGAGATTCGAACACAAAACAGGCTACATTTGGTGTCAGAAGTGGGATCGAACTTGAACACACCACAAGTTACATCGAGTATTTGACTGCTACAAAAATGGAGAAACAGGATATGCAGCAGATGATGGAACTTCTGCTGAAGGAAATCAGAGCAAACCAAGAAGAATTCATGGTTAAATTGGACGCAAAAAGGGAAAGAATGGAAGCTGACTTGAAAGCCCGGCGAGAAAAGATGGCTGCCTGGCAAGAAAAGACTGCCGCGGAGACGAGGAACCCAAGCAAGCACACACAAGAAGAAGAGGTCCCCAAAATAATACCGGTCGGAGAGACGATGGCCTGCCAACAAATGGAGGCACGTCCAGAAGAAGAAGAGCCGGCCTCCATGCACAGGAAATCCGAGGCGGCAGAATTACGAGAGGTACCCATAGAAGATGCCGAAGTAATACCAGTCAGTGAACCGAAGAAGAAAAGGCGTAGGGACCGAAACAAGTGACAAAAGAACCTGACACAGGAAAATTGCGGACCCCAGAATAAATTGGTCATCGTCAGCAGGAAGGTGTCCCGCCATGCAAGAGTGTCATGGCGCCAGAGAAACATCTTCAATAAATCTTTGACCCGAGGAAACTATGAATCCCGGGTGAAGCTGGCTGCCACCTGCAGGAAGACAACCCGTCGCGCGACAGTGGCACGACATTGGAGAAATGCCTTCGAGAAGGAGACTCCCCAGGGAAACTTTGGATGTCAGACGGAAAAGGTGACAACCAAAGACACCATCACAGGGTGTAGATCAGAACATCGATCGCACCTAGGAGAGAGAATTTGTGAGAAGATTTTCTACGAGATTGTCAGCGTGAAGATTGCGAAGCAAATAGCCGGATCTTCTGTCTGCCTATGAAAACACAAGAGTTGGAACTTATGGAGGGGTCGACCCCCTCCAAAGCGGAAAAAGAAACAATGGATCGGGGAGGAACCGGTAACGTAGAAGTACCGACCTCCCGAGCAAGAGTGACTGTGTGACAGATGAATGTAATACAACTGGATCTTCTGGCAAGTTAAAAGGAAACCGCTCGAGACGAGCTTTGTCTTAAGAGAGGAGCGGTTGTAACGGAAGGAGAATAGTCGCTGCAAGAAAGCCATCCCTTGAAGAAAATGAACGGGGGTGCACCGTTAGGCTATTCGGGATGAACAGCCTTAAGGAGGGAGCAGTGTGACGCCCCCCCCTCCCCGCCAGGCATGAGCCGAGCCGAAGCTGGCCGAGTCCCAGCATCCTGGTAGCTACGCAACGCAAGTCAACAGCGGTGACGTCACCAAGGGATACCGCGGTTGCTAGACAGCAGTAAACAACTCCGGACAGCGTTGCTAGCAACACGGCGCCAGACAACAATGTTTCCTATTACGTGGCTGTTTTCTGTGTTGTCCAGAATGAGGCTAGATATGGAGCAGTGAAGACTATTCAGAGTTAGTTACAAGTTCTGAGCAAGCCTACGAGTTAGTTATGAGACACAGTTCTCAAGTTCTCAAGTCAGTTCTGAGTTAGCCAGCAACCAGTCAGTTGTATTCTAGCATTTGCAGTGTAGTATTTGTGATACTGCCGATGGCAGTAATTGTCAGATTGTAATTTGGGTGATTGTAAGTGAGAATGTGAAATAAAATTCACTATGTCAAATTGGCGTGAAGTTATTTGTCGCGTTATACACCCAACACGTGACAATATTAACCCTTATGCATCTATCAGAAGAACCATAAAAAATGCATCCTAATCAGTTTCACTCCCAGCTTCTTTGTAACTGGCAATTAAAGTGTGCCAGTGCGACAACCAATTACCTGAAGACAAGAGAGGCACCAAGTCTTGAAATGCTCTGTATGGCAAATACACCTCACATATTGGACAATGACCAGCACAGGACTGATATCAAAAATTGAGCGTTGCCACCGATGTTCTGAGAACCACAGGTACTGAACATCTGCTTGCATGTGTAAATTACTAGGTTAATTATAACGAGTCCAAAGAGTTTTCAGTTTGGGAGAATCAAAATACAGCTTTCTAAACAATACAGTCAATAACAGATTTTACCTGAGCTTCTCAATTTTTGATGTAGAACTGGACCACCCTTAGATTCCTCCCACAATCACATTGAACTGGACGTATTCCATGCACGCCAGGAACAGCGCTGGCACTACAGACAGAATGTCCATATGTTGAGTCTACTGAAACAAGATAACCTTCGATTCACAATATTAATTGATGTGAGGATCTGATCCT